ACTGACTTAATCATATAGGAGGTTTGGCAGACTTGCTTGATTTGATTTGACCCAATACGCGAGTTCAAATCCCGCCGAACGCCTCGAGTTTTTTCACAATTGGGTCAACTCAAATTATAAAATCTGCCAAACCTCCTAATACTGGTCTCTGAACATTTACGACCTTTCTTAGGTGGACAGAAACCAAGCATTCAAGCTTGCCGCCATGCAAATTTGTGCCAGTCTCCAATGCATGCATGGCAACTTGAGACAAGTGGCCTCGTCTCTTAACTACCAAATCGTGTTCACGTAGGTGGGTAGAGGCTGATTGTTCTGCCTAACTAAAATACAATAAGTCGCAACAGTCACATGGAATTTCGACCTACAAAATCCCTAGGGTGCGCGTTCTGCGTTAATAATTGACCCATATAATCGAATTTGATCCGATAGCCTTCTTCGTCAGAACAGTGCTTTTTTGCTCTACTGAGTAAAGTTGACTGCAAACAACATGAAGTTATCGATATTCAGTGTGTTAACTGGATTTCCTCATTTGTTCTCCGCCTGCGTCTATCACCACACTGGGGTTCGATATTGCTGACTGATGACGCATAATAAGCCAGGGTCTCAGGGCAGAACCGGACTAGTGTGTCCCGTAACCGATCGGTGAGCGCCTATCCACCAATCGAAATCGATAAGACTGCTGATGAACGCTCACGGCTCGGTTACGAGACTAACTCGTCCCGTTCTGCCTTGGAGCTCTCCCTTTTGGGTCTCGCGAGCAGCCGCACAGGGGCTAGTATTAGGGGCAGATGAATAGTACCGGCGAGACAAGGAAGACTGGAATGGCCACTTCTGGCTTATTATCCGTCACCAGCCAGTCATACCCAACCCCAAGTGGTGCACCACCTGAGGCTTGAATCCGCAACCTTTTAACTGCAAGTCCAGTGCTCTAGCTCACTGGGTCATGGAAATCTCCTGTAGACTGCGATCGGATATACAGTATGGTGAAGAAGCCGTACAAAGATGCCGAAGTTTGCGAAAGATTGATAATTACTCACAAACCTGCCTTAACGCATTTATTAAAACTTAGAAGTAATAGTGAACAACATTAGGCAAATTTTGGTACATAAAAGAAATATAAAAAGTACTAATTGTTTGTTAAGAAAAATAACAATTTCTGCATAACACTCAAGTTCCTCAGACGTAAATAATTTGGTATAAATTGAAACAATCAATTTAAATTTGTTTGTAAGTTGTATGGATAGCCTTACCACTTTCTTTATATCAAAAGATATTTTCCTTTGTCAACATATTTTAAAAGTAATGCCGCTATTTAATTACAATATCTTACAGTTTGCCCTTTAAAGTCCGACAAATTTTTGAAGGTTTTCTGTGTTTTTAAGCTTTATTTCATAAACTTAGATTCTGTATGGTGCTCAGTTCAAAACCTCTAAAATAAGATATATATTAAAGGCAGTTACCGGAAATGACTTTTTGCATATTAGTTCTTATGAGCCATATTTAATAATTCCTCGAAACAGCAAAACACATTGTCGAACAAAAAGAACGTTCACAACTGAATTCTGCTATTTTTATTCGTACCATTAATAGAAAAGCTTTCTATAATAAGTAACCTCTTGAAAAAAGTACTTTGATTAGATATTTAGCCAACGAATATCCGTGCATGATACCTTTCTCCAAGGTAATGTAAAAATGAAAGGTCTTTTAAAATTAACCTGAAGGTAAATGATGCAATTTTGCTGGAAATGAAAGAACCCATTCTTCTCTTTATATTGGAGTAGTTTCTGCCGCAGTTAATTACTTTTAGATTCCGTCCTAAGCTTGCGAATTTTGAAAAAAGGGTGGCCGAATATGTACTAAGATTTTGGGAAAAAAATTAGTTTATGTAGTGCACCTCATATGTCCCTAGTCCCAGCACTTCGTCCTACGGAAACGGTGGTTA